GCTGGAACAAAAAGAACAACCACAAACAAGAAAGAAACAATTCGGACAGATTGTATCACTTGACCAACAAAAGACACGACGACAAGATCAACAAGAACCCTAACGGCTCAAGATTTTTTTTTTTTTGGGACTAGACACAGAACACAAAAGATAACACAGAAATATATTTATTTTTCTTCGGATGAACAGTAATGATGAACAGTACGATTTTTTTTTCCAGATTCACGTATGACACAAAGAAACACGAAGAACAATAAGGATATAACCTGGAAGTTGTCAACCTGGCTCTGATACCAGATGATACGAACCCAACCGTGCTTGGCGAACTCGTATTCCAACAAACAGGATCTAGACACGTGACTCCAAGGTTTGATTGTGCGGAACCCATCCCTTAGATGAGAACTAAGAATAATTCTTAACGCTCAAGAAAAGATTAAAGGAACTTATGATGTTGGTAAAATGGCGCCACAAGCAAGTGTGATTCTTGCTTGATAAGCCAAGACTTGAACAAAGGAGATTCGACTCACTTTGTATCAAGGAACGTTCCCAAGGAACAAGAAAGAAATGAAACTCTCAATTTTCATTCATAATTGTCTTACTAACTGAAATTATCATAAGCTTGGCTGTTTATAGCCTTACAAAGAAGCAAACCTAATCTAAGTTGGAAACAATGTAAGTTTCCTCATTCGACTTGACAACTAAACTAATGACTCACTAATCGCAGTTAAGGCTAACTAATGGACAGCTTATAATCGACCCAATGAAGGCTTTAAGCTGGCCCAACACAACCCAATAAAAGCTAATTAACCAACTTAAGTAATAGTGAGTCTAGACTTTATAAATCAGATCCAACTCAACATGAGATCTTGGACCGAACTCATTCCTACCAAATAAAATAGTAATCTGGAAAATAACTACTAAACTAATACTAAAAGATTCAATCTCTTAAAGCCCGAAACATGGCCCATATTTCGCATCCAAAGATTAGTCTAATCCAGTGGTTATATTCATCTATGGAATACACAGTGCCTCACGTGGCAGGGTAACTTTGAAGTGACAAATGAACGCATGCTCAATTGGTTGATTTATAAAGTAAATGGTTGTTTATTTGTTTCTTTAAAAAATACTGGGGAGATTATTGTCTCTCAAAAAATAATAAATTCTCCTAACGTGTCTCACACCATGCTTAAACATTTTTTTGAAATGAATTAATAAAATTGAATTAAGATCTTGAAATAAATATCTTGCTGATGCGTTGGGCTTATTTGTGGATTTCCGGTAATCATTGGTTGATTATATAATATTAGAATCCATTCTAATAAACGTCTTGGCTTCTTTTCTTTTTACTCAGCGGTTCTCTTTGCCTTCTCATCAATTTCAATCTTTTCTTTACCTTTCTTCCTCCATAGAAAGGAGATCTTGGTCTCAAACCAAGGTCTTCTTTCCTCTCCTCTTCCTCTGTTTTTATTTTATGTTTAATGACGTCTCTCCTAAGTATACTAATGAGAGTTTTGTCTCTCCTAATGTTTTACCAATAAGTGTTTTCTTCTCTCCAAAATTATCCTAGTCAGAGTTTTGTTTTGTTTTTGTTATTTTTTCCCAGATCTAAGAGTTTTAACATATATATATATGTTAAATCTAAAATTTTTGACTCTTTTTGTCAAATTTCAACATTAGTTATGAGTTTAAACCAATTACATAATAGATCTAAAGAAATAGATATACATAAATATCTAAGGAGCAGCTTGTACAATTGATCTGGTACATTTAGATGGTATATTTGCTTATATTTTTCCTTTTATTTATACCAAATATAGCCTCACTTGATTGATTCTACTCACAATTGATATTTTGTGTTAATTTCAGGAATTGGGACGAAAAGTGCTTAAAATTAAGAATTTCTAGTGATTTGCAAGTGGGTCAGAAGATCGGGAAAGAGTTTAGACAGTTTCCTAGTCCAAATCAAATTCCAAAACAATTGACTGCTGATGGAGATTTCCTACCTTTTGGGCAGTCTACGTCATTCTCAAGAAAAAAGAAACCTTGAAGAAGTTGACTTGTAATAGGAAACCATCCCTTCAAATTAGTTAACTTATTCGTAGAAAATAAGGAGTGGGCAGAGGATTTTTGGGGGGATTTTCGGTGTTGTGGTTAACTTCCTGAGCAAGGAGATATCAGGAAAATTGCAGACAAGAAGATGAGCAGATTTGAGAGAGAGAGAGAGAGAGAGAGAATGTTTGGAAAGATGATCTGAAATGGAATGAGAATGTAATTGATCATTAAGCTACCGAACCAATACATCCTTCGATTATTTATACAATTGTTCTCAATGCATGCATAAACTACCAGCTAACAGAAAAGATTCCTTCTAACTAACTCCTCAACCAACTCCTCCAGCTAGGATGCCAGCTTGGCACAACCGACAAATGATCTTCTTGGATATTGCCAGGACATAACATTGCCTTCCCCTTCAAACAATCCTAGTCTCTAGGATTCAGTTCTGGAAACTGCACTTGAATAAAGGACAAATCCTCCCAAGTGGAGTCATCCCTGTCTAAGTTGTCCCACTCGATCAACACTTGCTCAACCTCATGCCCCTTCCTGTATATAACTCTCCTGTCCAGAATGGCCTTGGGGGCTACCCTGAACTCCCCTTCTACAGTTGCTTGGGGGAGGTGTGGGGTGGATTTGGTGCCCATTGATAGACTTTTTGAGAAGAGAAACATGGAACACAGGGTGCACTGAACATCCATCTGGCAACTTAAGTTTATAGGCCACAGATCCAACCTTCTGCTCAATCTGATAGGGTCCATAATACTTGGCAGATAGCTTCAAATTTTTCCTCAAAGCTACAGAAGTTTGTCTATAGGGCTGTAACTTTAGGTACACCCAGTCTCCTACCTCAAAATGCCTATCAGTCCTTCCCTTGTCAGCCAGTTGTTTCATCCTATTCTGTGCCTGCAACAAGTTTTCCTTAAGTAAAGTATTCCAATCCACTCTTTCTCTGGTCCAATCCTCTACTGCGGCAGCTAGTGTTTTTGTAGGTGACAGAGTGAGTTGTGAAGGTTTGTACCCATAGAGAGCCTGGAAAGGGGTCATTAGCAGACTGGTATGGTAGTTGGTGTTGTACCACCACTCTGCCGTAGGTAGCCACTTCTTCCACTTGCTTGGCTGTTGCATGCACATACTCCTAAGGTAAGTCTCCACACATCTGTTGACTCTCTCTGTCTGACCATCAGATTGAGAATGGTATGCCGAAGAGAAGCTGAGTTTAGTTCCTAGCGGTTTGAAGAGCTCCTGCCAAAAAATGCTGGTGAAAACCCTGTCCCTATCAGACACAATGCAAGAAGGTAGTCCATGGAGCTTGAAGATCTGATCAAAGAAAATTTCTGCAATGCCCTTAGCAGTGTAGTGAGATAGGAATGAAATGTGCATACTTAGTCAACCTGTCAACTACCACGTAGATGGCATTACTGCCTAAAGACTTAGGCAATCCCTCTATGAAGTCCATTGAAATGTGTTGCCAAGCTTGATCTGGTATGGCTAGGGGCTGTAACAGTCCAGGGTATGGACAATTTTCAGACTTGCTCCTGCAGCAAATATCGCATTTCTGCACATGAACTTCTATATCCTTCCTCATGTTAGGCCAGTAAAAGAAGGGCTTCATCCTCTGATAGGTGCCCTGAATCCCAGAGTGACCACCCCAACAGGTATCATGGAAACAAGAAATCAAATTTTTCCTAAGGTCAGATCCTGATCCTACCAAAATTCTGTCCTTATGCCTTATGACTCCCTTCTGGTATGTATACTCAGGGTGAGAGTTGGTACAGTGGTCAAGACCACCACCAGCTCCTTTGTGCTATCATCACCCGCATAACTGTCAACAACTAGAGAGAGCCACTAAGGTGCAACTGCTGATACTGCATGCACTTCCTCCGTCACATTTTCTTCCCCTCCTTCCACTACTTCTGCTTTCCTAGATAAAGCATCAGCCACCACATTCTCCCTTCCCCTCTTATATTGAATTTCATAATCCATCCCCATGAGCTTGGCCAACCACTTCTGCTGTAAGGGTGTAGTGATTTTCTGATCAAGTAAGTACTTCAAGCTCTCATGATCAGTTTTAATCACAAGTGCCCACCCAGCAGATAATGTTTCCATTTCTGCACTGCAGTTATCAATGACAGCAACTCTTTTTCATATATTGACAAAGTCTGATTCTTCTTACCCAATACCTGACTCATGTAGGCTATGGCCCTTCCTTGTTGCATCAGCACAGCCCCAATGCCAGCTTGGCTTGCATCAGTTTCCAAAACAAATGGTTTAGTAAAGTCTGGTAGAGTCAAAACTGGTGTAGTACTCATAGCTTCTTTTAACTTTTGGAATGCTTGATCTGCTTCTGTATTCCAACTGAATTGCCCCTTCTTGAGCAGCTCAGTAAGAGGTCTGGCAATCACTCCATAACCTTTCACAAATCTCCTGTAGTAACCTGTCAATCCCAGGAATCCCCTGAGTGCCTTGACATTGGTAGGAGCAGGCCAGAAAAGCATAGCCTCAACCTTTGCTGGATCAGCACTCACACCTGCCTCAGTAACTATGTGGCCTAGATACTCTACTTGATTCTGGCCAAAGGTGCATTTGGACCATTTAGCATAAAGAGAGTGTGTTTAGAGGGTATTCAATACTAGGGATAAGTGGTGTAAATGAGTGGAAAGGTCAGGGCTATAAATCAGGATGTCATCAAAAAATACAAGGACAAATTTCCTGATATAAGGTTCGAATACAGAATTCATTAGAGCTTGAAAGGTGGCAGGGGCATTTGTTAACCCAAAAGGCATGACAAGGAACTCATACAATCCAGAATGTGTCCTAAAAGCTGTTTTTGGAATATCATCAGGAGCCATTCGAATTTGGTGATAACCTGATCTGAGGTCTATTTTCGAAAAAATTTTGGCTCCATGCAGCTCATCAAGAAGGTCATCTATTATGGGAATGGGAAATTAATCTTTGACGGTCAAGCTGTTCAGTTGTCTATAGTCAATGCAGAGTCTCCAACTGCCATCTTTCTTTTTTACCAAGAGGGCGGGAGAGGCAAAAGGACTATGACTGCTCTGAATGACACTAGAGGTTAACATTTCCTTAATTTGTCTTTCTATCTCTGTCTTTTGTGAATGGGGGTACTTATAGGGAGCAATTTTGAAGGGGCTAGCATCTGCTTTAAGTGGTATCTCATGGTCATGAGCTCTGGATGGGGGTAAGGTTTTAGGATCAGAGAAAATGTCCTCATATTCAGCCAGTAAATCAGTAAGAGAGTTAGGCACACTAGTCACCTGGCCATTGTGGACCTTTACCATGCAGGATTGCTGCAGAGCTTTCCTGACCTTGTGCCTGATAACTTTGCCAGCAGCCTCCCCCTTCCTGAGCTTCACCTGCGCAGTCTCGGAGTCCCCCTTCAACAGGACCTGTTCACCCTCCTTGTCAAAAGTTATCTGTAATGCTTTAAAATCAAATGTCAGGGGACTATATTTCTTCATCCAATCAACTCCAATTATCATGTCATAAGGTTCAAGATCCAACACATATACATTATGCTTAAATTGATGGCCCTGGATCTCCCACTTCATCTGAGGTATCCACTGATCACAATGCAAAACCTTTCCATTTGCAATTTTGACTTTGAAAGGTTTAAATTTCCTGACTTGCTCAGGGTATAACTGAGCAATTGCAGGTCTGATAAAATAGTTAGTACTCCCTCCATCCACTAAAACTGATAGTTGGTGTTCACCATACATTCCTTGCATTTTGATGGTGCTAGAAGACAACTCACCTGAAACCAAATGTAGAGCCAGTACCACTGCTTGGTCTGCATTAGTACCCCTGTACTCAATAACCTCTTCTTCCTCTCCTTTATCTGATTCATCCTCTTCTACCAGCAGCATGTGAAGCTCCTGGTTCTTACAAGCATGACCAGGGGAGAATTTTTCTCCACATCTGAAACACAGATGATGGTCCTTTCTGTATTGAAACTCAGAGGGTGAGATCTTCTTAAAGACAGGTTGAGAGTCATTCCTTTTTTTTGTTTCCTCAGTACTGTTTTGTTGCATCCTTCTGTTTCCATTGGCGCCAATGTGTCCCCCATTCCAACTAGATGACAGGGAATTCTTGTAAGGCACTCTGTTGTTTTTGGAGAGTGCTTTCAAGAGATGTTCCTGCCACCTAGCCTTCTCAAAGGCTAACTTCAGTAAGTCTGGTTTGTGCATTTTAACAGCCGTCTTGACTTCATTCTTCAGTCCACTCAAGAAGCAGGAAATGTAGTATGATTCTGACAGATTGGGAACCTTAGCCAACACCAAAGCTCTAAGTTCCTCAAACCTTTCCTGGTAAGCTAGTACAGATGAAGTCTGCTGAAGCTTGTTGAACTCCTCGATGACATCATCCTCCCCCAATTCCTTGAATTTGCTACAAATTTCCTCCTTGAATTCGCTCCAAGCAATTCCTCCTTTGTTCCTTTTAAAGTTTTGGTACCACAAATCAGCTTGCCCTTCCAAGTGTAGCTCTGCTATATCCACCTGGTTCTCCTCAGAGATTCTGCAAAGGTGAAAAAACTTCTCGCACTTCCTCACCCATTCCCTGGGGTTGTTCCCATTGAATTGGGGAAATTCCAACCTAGGAACAGCTACTGTGTAGTGATTCTTCATCATTGCTTCCCCACTAGTTCCTCCTTCTATCAACCTCCCAGCTTGAGTCCCTTGATTGTGGTTGGGGCTCCCCAGAATTCCCCTGTCTCCATGTATACCCCTCACGAAGGTACTGAACTGATTGTTCATATCAGTCATGAATGTCTTCATTTCCAATCTATTGGCCTCCAGCAGCGCCTTCATATCCTGGAAGGTATCTCCCACCTTTTCCTCCAATGTTGCTGCAGAATCCAGAATGGTCTGGATCCGCGCTTCCTGTTTGCGCAACTGTTCTTCGAAGCTCTTCATTCTAGTTCCTTCGGCCATGATTGTTTCCAGCTGATAGTCCGAGGACCACCAGCTCTGATACCACTGTTGTGGTTAACTTCCTGAGCAAGGAGATATTAGGAAAATTGCAGACAAGAAGATGAGCAGATTTGAGAGAGAGAGAGAGAGAGAATGAGAATGTTTGGAAAGATGATCTTAAATGGAATGAGAATGTAATTGATCATTAAGCTACTGAACCAATACATCCTTCGGTTATTTATACAATTGTTCTCAATGCATGCAGAAACTACCAGCTAACAGAAAAGATTCCTTCTAACTAACTCCTCAACCAACTCCTCCAGCTAGGATGCCAGCTTGGCACAACCGACAAATGATCTTCTTGGATATTGCTAGGACTTAACATTCGGCAGACTTTAGATTATCATTTTTGTGGCTAGAGACGAAAATGCAATAGTTACCTTGTTTTAGTTTTTTTTCCTTCCTGGCCGATTTTTGGGAGAAAACAATTGAAAGCTTTTCCCAATTATTTGCATGGCTGGTTCTCCATTAATGGAGAACTAATTTCATACTTCTAGTCAATGGGACAATTGAAGATTTGATTCAATAATAACTGTGAGATCTAAATTATTTTAATTGTTTCCTTCATTCATTGGTATTTGTATGTTTTCTGCTTTTAGTGATTATAGCTATTGTGTATGATTGAATAGTTGCGCAATATTTGATTATTCATGTAGTCTATTTACTAATTGAGGGCAGTGAATCCGTAATTGTTTGATTACTCTCATTCTGGTAGCAACTGACATAATTGGGTTTGTGTCGGAGAAACGTACAATCTAATTTAAATAAACCCTCATAGTGTGTTTATTGATTAGAGTAAAGTTTCTCTAGTTTCTAATGCAATTGGGAAATTAAATCCTATGGTCATACCTAGGGTTATTACTAAATTAGGAAAATAGTCAATGGTCGTACCTTGACTATCGAAACAGTAAAGAAAGATTGACTGTCAGATCGTATCGGTAGTTAAAAACTTACTTAGTAATGAATCTTGGATTTACTTATGAATCGATGATCAGTTGCATGAACCATCTTTGAAGTGTATTTTTGGCTAGAGCTTTCCCAATTATTTCTCTCTATTAATTATTTTTTGCAGCTGATTAATTTAATTTAGTTAACAATTCATTGGCGTTAAATTCTCAAACCCCCCCATTTTGCCTTGACTTGAAAAGGAACGAATTTCTCCCGGTTCCTGAGGAGACGACCCTACTTGCCCTATATACAAATTAGAGATTTCTCGTGAATAAATTCTGGTATATCGGACTAAACAAACTTTTCGGAGCCAGAGTGAATCAAGTAACCCATTGCACATCAAGAATCCCTGCTCCAGTACTAGAATTGACACGAAACTGCTTTGTTGGCACTTAGGATTATTATTGCACATGTTCGACACCTGTTAACAATTGATTAGATCCAATGGTTTATAATTTACAGTGTAATTTTTTATATTTTATAACTCTATTAATTTAATGATTTTAAAGATCAAATATATAACTATGAAATATTTTATGTATTTTTTGCCATTAGTACAGATTGTTTTGTCAAATAAATCATACTACACAATTTCCAACTGACTTCTGTTTTATCAAAAAAAAAAAAAAAGAAATCTATTCCCGTAATAAATATATTCATCGATGGAATAGTCGATGGTCAATAGATCACCAAACATGTAGCTCTAAAGTAACAGATGATAGTTATCCCACCCGATCATTGTACATCAAAGAAAATAAATCTCACTTTATTTGGATTTGGTGGAAACACGCAATTTGAAGTCAGAATCACTTTCGCAATTATGTCAATTTTCTTATTAAGATTTTTCCAATATATTGCCAATAGACACTGTTATTACACCTATATTAATCTTGATTTACTGTGTAAATGCCCATTTATATTTATTATGCGTTGTGTGCATTTAGTCACTTTTTCAAATTAATTTCATTCTTGCCCAAAACAATTAATACTTGAAACCCCTCTTAATGAACTATCCCTTCAGCCAAATCCTTCTTCTAAAACATATAAGACATATCATTGCCGAATACAAATACGATTTGACTAACGGGTCCCTATCGCTAAGAGATGCGTCCCAAGGATTAGTTTTTTTTTTTAAATATAGTTAAGGTAGAAAAGTATCTAATTACATTGATGGAATATTTGTAATTGTGTGTTTTCGCATAATAAGTTAAGTGTAATTTTACATATGCTAATGAAACCCTAAAAGAATCCATATTATACTTCTTGTTTATTTATTCACCACCAATTGTGATGCAACATTGAGAAGATACAAAACCTCGTGAAATAAAACTACTATATCAATTTTTCAAACTAATGAGGAAATTTTCATACAACAATCATAGGTAGAACAGTATTATTACCAACTCTTTGTCTTAACATTACATTTTCCCAAATTTGAGCATAGGTTAGTTTTCAATCTTTTGTTTTTCTTTTGCAGAATAGTTTTCTAATTCTTCTATGCAAAATGGCGCTACACCAGCTTTGATGTCAAAGTTGTTGGCTGATGATTAAGCCGTATTAATTTCCCTATTAACGATTAATCAAAGCACCATAGTCTCCTATTTTGGTTACGTTTGCAGAATAGAAAATTTTTCGGGGGCAAGTTAAAATATATTCTCAAGCAACAAAATGTGTGTTACAATCACTACGATAAAGTTGATCCACAATATGGAATCAGTCAAATAAAAAATGGGACATGCACAAACAAAATCTAGCCAACAATGTTACAACCAAATTATAACTAGAGCAATTTTGAAAAGATAAAACAAGCTTCATCCCACAAGGTTATACCGCAGCAAGAATATTCTCACATGTTGATTAGAGAATATGGATAGAGCAAATTGGATGAATAGCTACGGCAGAAATATAGATTGAGACCAAATCCATTCGCGTTACAGTCACATATTGGGTTGAGACTTAGATCTCTTTTAATAATTCAATTCAACACTTAAATTTAATAGGTTTAGATTTTAGTATGATTAGATGCATTTGATAACAAAAAATAGAACATCTGAATTAATTAAGTGATATTGAATTTTCTAAACAAAATTTGTTCCAAGAAATAAGTGATAAATTATTCATTTGTCACTAAATATGATATATATTTAAATGAGCCTGATTTAGTACTTAATGGATTAATTCTTTAGATTTTAGATTTTAGATTTCAGTTTTTAAACTTCAATTTCTTCAAACATATCCTTAGTCATCCCTGTCAAGAACATTAGCCTACTTCTCACTAAGAAGCATACTTGTTTTTGTAGACTTATAGCATCAATATTATAGTTTTTGAATATCCTTTGGTTTCTTTCATTCCAAATATAATAAACTTTTTAAACTTCTGAAACTTTGATTAAAATACTGATGCATTATTTTTGTAGATTGAGTAAGAAAGCAATGCATATTCACTTTGATGAGGAGTTTTTAGACCCTCAGTGTTTTAGTACACTCTTGTAAAGTCCAAGTTTGAGCCCTTGCTCATATATTGTACTGCTCTCTTATTAGCAATAAATATTTCTATCGTTTCCGGAAAAAAAAAAATAGAAGTTTATCCTGGGTTGATAGTCTCTTTTGAACAGCCAATAAAAGGATGAAGGAACGACAGGGAATAGGTTTTGGATACCAAACAATGTTGCGCCAAGTGACAATGAGTCTGCGTGATCCAAAGAAATTCCAAACCTTTTGCACACTGAATTCTTCTTCCTTCTCTACACAATACACCACCTTGTCTTTTGTAGCACTTGAAGGCACAGAATCAGGCATGTTGTCAGCCAAATTTCTCATGTTTGCTGTAGGAAGTCGAGGCAGACTCCAAGTATCAGCATGTATAATTTTCTCAACTTTGTCAAATCTTCCCAAGGCTGGATTGCCTGAGAATCTGCCTTTCAAGCAAAAGATGGAGAAGTGCTGTTGGATGCCAATAGTCCCACCAAAGAAACGTAAATTCAGTACTTCTAATAACATGTTTAAAACACTATATCACCTCTTGTCTCAATTTTAGTAATTTTAACTAACCCCAAGAGCAATTACAAGGTGGTTTAATAGCCTAAAAGTTTCCATCTTTAAGAAAATTAGATCTAACCCATTTTGTCCAAATTGACCCTGAATCTTTGGACAAGATGTGAGATATATGTTTGACCATGGCTGCTTTCTTTCATTCTGAAACTTTTTAAATACCCAAACCACCTTCTTCTTTAGAATATACAAATGTTGTCTCAAGGCACCTTTGCACCAGTTTTTTTAAGTCGAGTACCTTTCCAAAAGAAAGGCTCGAAAGATTCGGTCAATCTTTGCACTTACCTTTTTTGGAAGAATAAACAAACGTGACCAGTAAATTTGGATGGAGAACAACACAGACTGTATCAATTGAAGTCATCCAGCATATGAAAGGCGCTTGTTAATCTATGATTTAATTCGAGCTATTGTTTTTTCTAGCAGAGCTTTACAATCAGTTGCTTAAAATTTAGACGTTATCAAAGGTATGCCTAAATATCTGATAGGAAGTCTGCCTTCTTCAAATCTCAAGCATCGTAACATGGATATCTTCTCAGTATTAGTAATCCCAGCAAACACTATTTTACTTTTGGATCTGTTTGGTGTCAAACCTGAAATCCTTTGAAACATATCCAAGACATTTTCAATAACATTGACAATGCTGCAATTACCTTTAGAGGGTAAAATCAGATCATCAGCAAAGCACAAATGAGCGATCTTGTCTTGTTTACACCTTCAATGGTAATCAAAAGCTTTATTCTTAGTAAATTCTGCCAAGATGCCATGAAATATTTCCATACAAATTGATGTGTATATATAGGGTCACCCTGCCTAAGACCCCTTCCACACCCAAAATACTCGTTCAACTCACCATTAATGTTCACTGAAAGGTTGGGAGAAGAAATGCAGGCTTCAGTCCAAGTAATCATAACAGAAAGTATATTCATGCATCTCAGAAAATCATA